AAAAAAAAAAAAAAAAAAGAAAGGAATAAAATCCTTGCATCCGAAATTGACTCCTTCCAGTACAGGTTAGAAGATCACAGAAAGAAGTGACATATCACATGAAAATATACTTTATTGCAACATCATGTTGAGCAGGTTCTGTTGTTTCACGGTGATCATGGTGAAGTGGCTGCATGGTTGCATCAGGTACAGACAGGAGTCCCCTCTGTTACTTGGTCCATATTGAGCGTTAGGTAAAGGAACACGCGCCGAGAGGAAAAATGGCCGCGAGATGGTGGGAAAGCTTTCTAGCACGATTTTCGTGCAGCCATTTTTTCCTCTCGCGCTTTCATTTAGGGTCACGCTCGAAAAATTAAAAGAGGGAGGATGCGGGTAGTCTACCATTAGGAGGCACTTACATTTGGAGACAGCAGAATTACAAGTCAAATCTCACTTTGCTGTTTTAATCTAAATGCATAACATGTCGTGTTCAAAATCTCAAAAATTACAATAATTTGCGAAGTCTTCCGGATAGCCCTTTAGTATCCCGCCGGCTCTCCACTGCCATCCTCACACTCGACGTTGTTTGGCCAATCACAGACGAGTATTGCCGGGTTAAATTTAAGTCCCGCGGGACAGGCCATTTCATGTGCGTTTCCAGCCACGTCACACATAATGAAGCCATGGCAATCATCAGGGTTGGCGTGCACTCCGGCTGAGTTGCTTTCACAAAAACCTGGTTGTAAATGAATAAAAGTATAGTTCGCATAACCCTTTCTTAGTCAGCGACAAGACGAACTCTGAGATTTTTTAAAAGCAAAAGGGTCCTGGAGGGAGAGAATGTGTGTGCGGTTAGTCAAGTAGTACGATAATTTCAAAATTTCTGTTGATTGTAAGGGACTGCCGAACGCGAAATGAACTTATCTATACTCCTGAACGTTTTCGTAAAACGACGGAACATAATATGGTTGTAAAAGTAGTTCAGAACTATCAGAGGCCACATTTCTTTATAATCTTGTAAGGAAATAAGCTTGTGTAGTTGTCCGCGTGTTTAAGACAAAAATAAATTAGGATGCTTTCACAGCATACCAATTTGAACACAAACTATGTTACAAAACATAAAGGCCTTCCTAAAAAAGGATGCTGAGTCGATTTTTCTGAAAAGGGGAAAAATCGACTGCTTTCGCAGCCTATCAAACACTTAGCTTACCTGAATCTCTCTTCGCCAACACTCTTGATAATACACCTGTTTCAATACACCAGAAAATTTAATATGGAATTTGTATTTTTTTTTTGGCGCGCCCTGGTTGCGCAGTTTGGCAAAACTGCGTGGTATACATCCAAAAGTCAATTTTCTTTCTAGCTCTCCCCTTTATCAAGCAAACGATGCCGTTCTTAAATCATAAATTAGCCGAATTAAGTTTAGGGTCATTTTACAAAAAAATAGTTCGGCGTTAGTCTTCTGCAACAAAACATATATGAAACAGATTTTTCTGAATAAAACGCTGTCTATAACACGCAACCTTAGTTTTAAATACAATACCCCTATGAATGGTCATACACGGTATTTCACTCTGAAACAATTTTCTTAGCCATGCTTAACAACACACAGCGGAGAGAATCTAAATTAATCGGGAAGGAATGAATGATAACTTGTAACTAAGTAATTACCTGAACAAAAAAGAAGTAAGATGGTCGCTAATATCAACTGAGAGTTCATGTTTTCCGCGTACGTTTTTTGCTTGGTGGCCAACTTTACGACTTGCCTCGTGCGTTGTAAGATAAACTACAGCCTGGCTCCTTGTTCTATAATCTCAAACATTAAGACTGGTAGAGAACAACCTGGTAAAGCTGAACACATTTCTGGCGACAGTGTCTATATTTAACGCTGACAACTTTAAGTTATCCTGTTATATTGTAAATGGAAATATTTCAAGCTAAGGTAGAGTCTGCATACGAGCCAATTTTAAGCTAAACAGATGTTTAAATAAGGTTGAAAAAATATACTTTACAATAACATATAAGAAAATTCTGACAAACACGATTTACCTCAAACGACAAACTATAGACTTGTAATTGATATTGCAATATTAATATTTTAATGCTTAAAATCCTGTCCACACTACTTATTGCACTCATGAATTACCTCTTCTGCTTTGTATGTTGTCTGTTGATCAGTCAATGACCTGAATCATGTGTTTTTTAACAATTGCTTGCCTCAGGCTCAGTAAACTTTAGTGAATATTTACTTCGACTTCGTCTTGGTAAATCTTCACTATTATGAAGATCTAGAAGTGTCGAGTGTCGTGGACGTCCTCACTACTATTATGTTTGTTCTTGTGCTTATATGGTTGTAAAAACCAGTCTTTACGTTAGTCTTTTCCACGTTTCACGTAACCAGGGCACAGTGGGGCTAGGGGTGGGGGAAGGGGGGCTTGAGGGACGGGAGGGTCAGAACCTCACGACTTCCGCCCTTTTCCGTCCTGCTCCCGTCCCCTGTAAATTAGGAGACTCAAAGGACCTACTGGTCATTTAGCCTCGCAATTTTAGGGCGTTTCTTTTGTTTTTAAATAATTTGTATTCCAGCCTTGCTTGCTTTACTCATCTCTTTTGTTGAACTCGATCTGCTCCTGAAGGACTGGAAACGATTGTATTGACATTTCACAAAATATGCGAGTCAGCGGTTATTCATTTCCAACATGGCGGCTTTTGCGGATCTCAATGTTCCTTTTCTCGAGGACCCACGTGAGACTGAGAAACTCGTGTCTAAAGCTGTCAAACTCGGATTTGAGACCATTGCTATTTGTAAAATCCACAGACTCAAGCATGAGACAGAAAAAGGAAAGAAGAATAAAAAGAAGGACAGTGGTCAGCTCTCGCCGATAGATTGGAATGTTCTCCCAGCGATTCAAGACTTGAAGAAGAAAAACCCAAAGCTAAATTTTTATTCCAGAATAACTGTTCTGTTAGACGACCAAAGCCAAGTACATCAACTTTCCAGCGAAGTAGTGCAAGCTTTCGATATTTTAGCTGTGCAACCTAGTACAGAGAAGCTCTACCAGCAAGCTTGTAAGTCTCTAGAAATCGATATTATTTCTCTGGAGATGAGCAGACGCCTTCCATTTTACCTAAAGTTCCCCACAGTTCACGCAGCCGTCGAACGAGGAGTACATTTCGAGATCATTTATTCTACTGCGTTTAAGGGCACGAATGAGCGAACACAACTTTTGGCTATTGCTATGGACATGGTCGTGTTTACAAAAGGAAAAAACATCATTGTGTCCAGTGGAGCAGAGCACGAGCTGGACCTTCGCGGACCTTATGATATAGTTAATCTAGGGCTTTTGTTTAATTTTAAGGAGGAGCAATCCAAAGCAGCCATTACTAAGAACTGTAGAGCTGTTCTGTTTCATGCTCAGGCACGGAAAGGTACAGAAAGATCTGTTATTTCAGGTAGATGTCTACTGCCACATGTCAATGAGCAGGCAAAGGATATCATGGAAGCCACATGCAGTGGAGGAAAACCAAGCAAGGATGATGTGAATGGAAATGGTAAAAATGAAGATGATGACTATGAACCCAAAGATAAGAGAGCAAAAGTTGAATGATTATTTGTCAGAGATTTCTGTTTCACTATTATTGTCAGTGTTCCTTAACACCACCTCTGTAGGCTAAAGGCAGTTGTGCCTAGAGCAGACTGATCATGTTTGTTCGCTTAAGCTTGCATTGTGAAAATCTAGAACAAGAAAAATTTTCCATGGCAAAAGTTCAGAAATTCTTTATTTGCACAGGAATGCTTGCTACACGTGCAATATACAGTATGTCCCCTTCTTTTATGGTTATTCAGTGACTGGTTGTAGTACTTGCTGCACCTTTCAAAAACACACACATGAGTTCAAAACCCAACTAATAATTGCATTTTTCACTGCTGTCTCAAACACAGTTACAGTGACATTCAATGAACCTTAGAAAAGAAGAATTAAAATCTACCAATGACAACCCTCAGGAATGACCTGTTTAACACACTGAAGTGAATATCTAAAGTAAAAACCTAAGATGATTGACAGCTGTCAGAAAAAGTAACTGTTGATTGAGAGGAATTAGCTTATCATTGAAAGGTGCTGTAATGTCTGTCCTTGGCACGTAAGCTTGGGCCTAGACTAGATACATGTTTATATATCTAGTTGCTATTGGGTGAGGGAGTAGGGACTGTGATTAGAACAACATTCACTTCACCTTTAACCCTGCGTATTATATAGTGGCTGTTCCTGCAGTATTGGTGGCAGTCAAAATTAAGCTGTCTCACCGAAACGGCCTGATGATAGTCTTTTCTTTACGGCAAACAAAAAATAAAGACAGTACTTCAATTGCTTCGGCCTATTCTAATGTTTGACTCAAGAATTCTGGATTTTAATTTGACCAGGAACAGCATATTTTGTTCCAGATGACACAACCATAAATCCCTTTATGTGAATATTAAATGCCATCGCCAGTGAATAAAGTTGCCTAACTTCAATGCCTTTCTTGCTAATATGGTAGGCATTTGACATCAGGACAGTACAGTTTTTCTGCATACTAAATTCTGATCGGTCAATTCAAATTTCAGGTGCACTACCCATACACAAGGAATTTCTTACATAATTTTTTTAATCTTTTCTTTTCTTAAGAGCATGAAGCACATGTAAATGTACATGTACTCACTCTCTTCAAGGCAACAGTTGCATTACTCTAAAGTGTGCCATGTGTTTGTGTTGTATAGTTAGTAACAGGCACAGCAAGGCACTTGCCTGAGCCATTTTTTTTTTGTTTTTGTCATTTATAGTTAGCAAAAACACCCTAAATACCTTGAGGGAAAATTATTAACCATGGACATTGCTTCTATCATAATTTTTTCTGGCTACAGCCCTGGTGTACACTCTTACTGGCTACTTTGAAGTCATGCGGCATTTAGCAATTGAGCTGTTTTCTGCCAAAATTCTCTGAATGGGCAACATTGCAAAGTCTGTGATGTCAGAAGGTAATAGGGTTACTCAGAAATGTTGAGGGACAACTGCTGTCACAAATGACATGTATTGACATGATCAACATGTATGAGTTATGAATTGAAAGAAACAGAAACAGGAATAGTTTAATGAAGCTGTAAGCATATCCAATCTTGGGGCCACTGATATCAACTTCACTGTTATCTGTTATATGTAGTGATCTTCATTGCAGGAAGCTCTATATTACTCCACATCATCGACATGATGTCCACATAATACAATAGGGGGTATATAATTGCAGAGTTTAAATTAAAGGTATTAACCATAGATGTTGTTTGGCTCAAAAGGGACAGAGAGTGCCCCCCACCCCCACCCCCCTCAAAAAAACCTGATTTGTATTTGTCTTTTCTGGACAAATGTCCTTCAAGTTTGCAGCACACTTTCAATGGTGTATTTTTTGGAATGCAATATTCAAAATAGTATCTGTTATATAGTGTAAACCTCTATTGTGCCTGCATATATTCAGAAACTGTTCTTGGTTGGAGAAGGGGCTTGTTTTCTGTCGGTGACTATAATCAACAGCACTCACAGTTCAACTGTGCGAGTGTAGAGTATAGCTTGAAAGGACCCAAGATTAGTGCACATGGTTTATTCCTGTAGGACCCGTAGGTGAACATAGACATAGACATAGACATAGACATACTTTATTTAACGTGGACAAGTACACGCTTAGCTGTTCGCTAGTTTCCAGGTGCTCCACGATTTAAATTAAGTAATGTACAACATTATAAAAGCTTTAAAAAAAAAGAAGAGGTATTTACATCAAGCTAATTTAAAAATCACAAAAGAAAAAAATGAGCTAAAAGCGATAAAATATAATCGAAGTGTATTAAACATGAAAATCAGTTTGCCGAATCTTTTTAAAAAAGTCAATGCATACTAACATTTTTAACAGGCTTGAACTGTACTTTTTAGTTAAAATCCAGCTGATAGTTTCAGAGTAGTCGTGATCTAGACGAAAAAGCCACGAGTTTCCCAGCATAACGGCTTTCTTTGAATGGGAAGGTGCAACGTAAAAGAGTACGATTCACTTCTCCCTTATAGGCTAACATATTCCGCCGCTCCTACGTTCTGTCTCTGCTGAGAGTATTCTCCTTGATGATGTTACCTTGACGACCCATATCTCTGTGCTTCTGTTCTCTGGGGCTTCGTTTCCCCGCTGTGACTGCCTTAAAGGCAATACCCTAATTGCTTCACCTCGTAGAGCAGTTGCATTTTAAGAGCCTTATCAGATGCTGTCGAAAACGTGCGCTTGTGAAGCTGTAAACCACTGGATTGATACTGGAATTGAACATGGCTAATACGACAGTGATTTTATGCGTGGGACTGTATACCATATGATTTGGCAGTGCCGCGGCCGCGTAGTACATCATTAGCACTGGTACCCAACAAATGGCGTAGATTAAACTGACGGCAATGACTGCGACTGTTGCTTTTCTTCTTGACAAAATGGCCATCTTCTGCAAAGGAGGAATTTGGAAGCAATATTACCTTAATTTATCGCTTATCTTTTGAAGTTTACTCGCCTGTCTATCATTCCATAGCAACTAAATTTAATGGCCAGTAACACAGTACGCTCGACTCCGGATCCAGTGGTCTGGTTTCCAGCACTTGCCGGGAACACTGTGTTGTGTTCTTGGGCAAGACATTTTAACTCTCACAGTGCCTCTCTCCACCAAGATGTATAAACTGGGTACCGGCAAATTTATGCTGGGGGTAGCCCTGCGATGGACTAGCATCCCATCCAGGGGGGAGTAGAAATATTCCTAGTGGCTTCATGCTACAGAAACCAGGATAAGCTCCGGTCTGATGTGTCGCTTAGCTCGTATGCAGACTTAACTTTACCTTCACGCGGCTGAATGTTTCAAATTTCATAAATTTGGATATGTCATTGAGCCATCGTTAAATGCAATCGCAGTTTGACGCAGATTTTGGAAGTTTCTGTTGAATGGAACTCGTAACTTGGCTACTCTAAAGTAAACGCAGGTCAGCCCTCAAAATATTTCAATACCACCCCTCCCCCACCCTTAGTCCAAAAAATAAACCCTTAGCACTTCTTGAAAACTTTATTAGATCGGGTATTTTCTCGGGTATTTGGTCCTTTGTAGTTGAAACGAATAATCGGCGATCGAGATATTGCTGATGGGGTAAAACGTACACCTCATCGAACTAAGACTAGTGAAACACAAGATCTGGACGCCTGGAAAATGTTCGAGTAAACAATCTTGCCAGTACTTACGGCTGAGGTAGAAGTCACTGCAGGCGTTCTATCCGACCACAGCTTGTGAACCACTCTTGAGTAAAGATAGCTCATGATAGAGATAGGAATCACTCCTGCCACTACAGCCCAGCCTAAGCTGTAAGCTATTGGCGATAATTTGTCAGGCCACTTTTCGCCACAGGTTTCTAGATCCTCCCTGTAAGTCACGGCCACTAAAAGAGGAACATTCCACAGGAAGCCTGCTACCCAGCAACTTGGGATGATGAATTTCAGCTTTGAGTTAGTGAGTTTCGAGCGATTGGATAGCGGCCGCACCACTGCCTGGTATCTTTGTAAATAATGACAAGAAATAAAAATACGCTGTAACTGATAAACAAACTGAGCAAGCAAACAGGTCAGTCAGACTGCGAGAATTAAGGTGGTATGGTACCCTCAATATGGACCAAAAAGTTTGTTTAAATATGGTTAAGAAAGATCAATTGTGTGCTATTGCACTCAAGAAGAGAAATTAAATTTCTAGAGTTTTACTCAAAATGGTTGCTATGGAAACCAGCCACAGCCTTTTG